CCTTGACGTTATCTGTGCTACCCATATATTATATTACATATTATATCGTGTTGCTTGACGATCACTATGCCAAAAACTTTGAAATCAATCTTTTTTGCTTTATATTCCAGCTGTATTCTTGTACAAAATTTTTGTACAAATTCGACACCTTGTTAAGTCATTTTATTCGTTAAACAATCAGCTAAAACGAAAGAAAAATGCGATCCGATTCGATCGATTTGACCCTTGATTTCTGAAGATTTCGTCAATCCAATCAAGCTTTATTTTATATCATTCACAAGCTCAAAATGTTCTCTTTAAGACCCTATAAGAAGTGAAAATAATTCAATATCTAAATAAAGTTCTGGAGCGTGAAAGTATGCCTTTTAAAATGGTAAAACGGAAAATCTCATTTTCAGATGAAAGGAAACTTTCAGGAGATTTCAGATCAAAGAAAACATCGATAAATCGGTAGTTTTTTTTTGAAGAGCTCTTTTTTCGATCAGCTAGGTCACAAATCAACAGATAAGGCATTAAAAAAAAGGATTTGATCAGTCAAATATTTGAATAGATCAATCAAATCTCTCTTTCCACTCAGATCAACAGATCGGCTTTCTTTTTCAATCGATCGCTCACTCAACGCATCCCCAGGTCATTTGTAGGTGTTATTTTTTCATTTCTACATAGGCAAAGTAGTTTCTTTTGTTTTCTTTTCGACTTTAGTACTTTTAACTGTTTCTTTATCATCAAACATTAGTTGTATTAGTGCCAAATTTAACTCCAGTATGACATTAGTTCATCAGGGCAGGCTTACATAATCTTTTATGCAAAGTTAAACAATAGATTTCTTCTGACTCTATTCTGAATCAACCTTTTATTGTAATATTATTCAAATTAGACAAAAAACAAAAGTTTTTAGGCCTTTTTGTATGCAAAAGGAATCGAACTCGAGTAGAAAAATGGGGCACTAGTTTTGTATGCAACCATTTGATCCACTACACCATTAAGTCAGCTTTGCCGTCCGTGAGAGAACCGTTATAAAGGCATCCCATCAGCTCCTTGATTTAGCTTCAAAAGCAAAATCATGGAGCTGATGATCTCAAAAAGACCTATTCACCAAAATAGGCGATCTGAGCGATGAGATGAGGTTTTGCAATCGTTTTTCTTTCCTTTTTCACCCCCAGGCCTCATCTTTCCCTTGAGTGACTCATTTGGCGCCTTTGCCCTTCCCCTTCTCCTTCTCCTCCCCTTTCCTTTCTCCTCCCCTTTCCCCATTTCCTTTTCTTCTCTGATCTCTCTCAAATCATTCCAATCTTTCCTCATTCGTCAACTCTCCATATTCATTTGATTCACTTATATTATCTCATTGTTTTTATTTTTCAGTTCTTTCAGAAAAGAAAACTTTTATCAAATCCTTTCTATTAAATCCTTTCTATTAAATCCTTTCTATTAAATCCTTTATCAAATCTTTACTAGTTTTGTCAGTTTAAAAATGAAATTATGCTAAGAAAACCAAGCTCTAAATCATTTAACTAAAAAGGGAACTTAGTCTGGATAAAATCTGGATAAAACTAAGTTCTAAAGATTTAGATAAATCTATTATTAGCTCAAATTTCGTCAAATTTCCTTTCAAATGCTTACAAATTCGTAGGATTTGATGATCATGGAAAATCGTTAAGTTAAACGGATAAGTTTTGAGAGGAAAAGGGGAAAAGAAAAGAGGGGGATTCTCGTTTTTTTTTTTTCAAGTTTTCCTTGTCACATAGAGAAGAAAGAGAAGAGGAACGGAAACGTGTAATTTATTCAAGACGAGAAAGGGGACTGGCTAGGGTTGGACCTCCTCGAGGCCATTTTTGCCCATTTCCCTTTCTCCTTAAAAAAAAAAGTTCTTTTTTTCTCTTTTCAGCTATCCCATAGAGATACACGACTTGTTTTTTCCTTTCATTTTAGTTCAAGTAAAAGACTTTTGAGATTTTTTGATTTAGTTTTACACTAATTGTAAAGAAATGAATATGAATTAACTAAAAATGGATATCAATTAACTGTTTTTCGTAGCCCAGGTTTGAATTTTGTTTTTGTTTGTTTTTGAATTTACGTTCGCAAAATCAAGATCAAGATTGGCTATTAGTTTGCATTTTTGGATTTCATTTTACACCATTTATTTGTATATTACCGTATCCACATTGAATATTTTATTTATAAGCCATTTTCTTATTTGTAGATCTAGTGTGAATAGTTGTTTTGTTGACTTAAATAGCTGTTGTATAATCAAAAAAAAAAAATCAGTCATCTTAAACGTTGATCAGATAACTTTTGTAAATCTTCCTATATTCTTTTACAAATCGAATCTTTTGATCTCTACTTTCCCATCTCGCTTTCGTTTACTGTTGCTAGAAGTATATTTTAGTACTTGTTTACCCTTGCTACAAGTATATTTTAGTACTTGTTTACGCTGGCTACAAGTACATTTTAATACTAGTCTACGCCTGCTACAAGTACATTTTAATACTAGTCTACGCCTGCTACAAGTACATTTTAATACTTGTCTACTTACCATGAAAGTTCATAGAGCTAATATGAGTTCATAGAGCTAATAATCTGTTGGCTTGTTGGCTTAATCTGTTGGCATAGGAATACTGGCCTATATATAGCTTTCGTACCTTCACCACTCTGGCAATCGATTTAAACAAAAGCTCTGTTTTGTTTTATTATTTAAAAGCTTCTTTCACAAGTTAAACATCAATAAAGCATGATCTAGATCTTGAGATCATATCTAAATTCACTTCATTCTCATTCTAAAGCCCATTCTTTTCTCATTCTAAAGCCTGAACTTTCTTTTGCCTATTTTTGAAAACAATTCCACTATTCCACTAAAGATAATTGTTCAAAAATGAGGCCAAAGACAGCACTAAAGATGGGCAAAATGAAACTGAGAAAAAGAAGATGGGAAGAATCTCGTGGAATCTTTATGTCTTTATGGAGGGGATGGATGACTAGATTGGGGGAAAAGGGAGCAGAAAAGGGGCATTTTGGGGGTGGGATTTGCATCGCCCCGCCGATGGCATTCGGCACCATTGATCCACCATTTTCTCACCAACTCTTTTTCTCTATTTCTTTTTCTGCATTTCTTTTCTATTTCCCTCTCCTTTTCTCTTTCTTTACTCATCCGTCGTTCCACCTATGAACTTTCCCTACGTTGTTTTTCTTAGCTCAGGTTTGAATTTTGTTTTTGTACTTACGTTCGCAAAATCAAGACCAAGATTGGGTATTAGTTTGCATTTTTGATCAAAACTGGATATTAGTTTGCATTTTTCGGTTTCATTTTATACAATTTTAAGGATTTTGTACCTTTCTAAGGCTTTTGAATCTAATCTTTTGAATCTTTTGAATTCTCAATTAATTTTTACTAAAAGATTCCAATAAGGTTCCAATACGGTTCTTTTTTGGATCTAATACGGTTCCAATACGGTTTCAAATACGGTTTCAAATACGGTCCCAATATGGTTCCAATATGGTTCCAATATGGTTCTAATATGGTTCCAATACGGTTCTTTTTTGGAACTAATACGGTTCCAATACGATTCCAATATGATTCCAATATGATTCCAATACGGTTCCAATACGGCTCCAATACGGTTCTTTTTAGTATCCAACATTAGTATCCAACATTAATTTCTAGATAAAATCTGGCTTTCAGAATGAGATTAAATCCATCTTTGCTTTTCAATTTTTTTGAAAAACTCAGTTTTGAAGTAGATGAAGTAAAACTAACGAGATAGAAAGCAAGTAAAGCAAAACAAATCAGATTCCGGAAAGATTGGGACAGAGTAGCAGCAGAATAGAGAATAAGGAGTTGAGGGGGAAGAGGTCGTTTGGGGGGCTAGTTCTCTAACTAGCCAGGGTCCTCAACGGGTTGTAGGGGAGGGGATCTCCCCGGAGACATCTCGTTCTCATCCCTTTCCCACAAAAACTCTTGTTGCTCCCAGACTTGTCTCTTCTTAAGATTTTAAAAATCTGCCTTATAAAAGCTATCATTAAACTTTAAATATTTGATGTTTCCTGTTCATCTTGTAGAAATCATGATCATCTTATAAACTGTAGTGTTTGGAAACGTGTTTATTACTTTACTATGTACTTTTGCTTGTAAATAGTACACTTGAAGGCATAATTGGCATAATTTGAAGGCATAATTTCTCTAATCTTATCTGATAATCTATACAATATAGCTAAAGATCTAGCTTAGCACTTTTTTAAGAACTTTTTCTTATTCTTTTCATTTTCTTTCATTTTCTTTCATTTTCTATCCAATAAAACGAAAGATTTTATCTTTAAAAGCTTATTTTTAAATGTTTTCTATAATCCTAATTATAATCTACCGTAAATACTGTAATAGTACCCCACTGCCCATAATGACGGTGCGGAGTGTTACGTAGTCTAGCTTTGAACGAGTTTTTCTCGACACTGGTTTATGCTACAATGCTCGTTTAGGTATCAAAAAATAGCTGAAATCCAGGGCTATTTTTTGATACCAAAGACGCATTTTTTGAAAGTACGGGCACTTTGAAAAAAATGAAATACTGAAAAACTTTTGCGACTACGCGTCTGTACGATGGGGAGTGGGGTACTATTACAATACTATTACAATACAATACTAATACAATACAATTACAATACAATTACGGTAGATTTATCTAATATATAAAGTTTTGCATCAATTCCAAATAAGCTTCTATGTTTTCTATAATCATAATTGTAATCTATATCTATTCTATCTATTTCAATTTCTAGAAAAGCGGATCAATTCGTAGCTTCATTTATTTAAACTGCACGAGAGAACAGGAGATGAATCGATGTCCAATCCGACCGAAACGATAGCTTTTTCACAAAAAGAAACACTGCTTTTAGCAAACTTTAAGATATTCAATCTATTAATTCTCTATTCAATATTATTCTCACCGATCAGCGCTCAATGGCTCACTTTCGAGAATCCCCACACTGCCGAGGGGCATTTCTTTCAGAAAATGGTAGGTGAATGAAGAAATTGGCTTTAGAAGATGACAAAGGTAAAAAGGTCTAAAGGTAAAAGATAAAGATTACTGTGGTAGTTCTGTAGAATATAAGATATTCAGTCTATAGAATATATGGGAAAAACGCTGAATTTCACGCTGATCATTTTGCTGCTTTTCTTTTTTGAAACAAAGCAATCAGTCAAAAGTTCTAAGCTTTTAAAGTTTTGTTTCAAAAATCAAATCGCGACCTTATAACCCAATCTCCCTCGGTCTCAGAGGATGCGGTGGTGGCTGAGTGGTAGTGGGTTAGTATGCAAGGCTTCGTTGGTCTCCGGTAGCTCTGGTTCGAGTCCTTCAAAAATTTTAATTGTACTTTTTTCTTTTTGTAAGAATTGTACTTTTCAGGTAATCGATCCGGCCACTTCCCGTCTCTACATTGGTGGAATGAACCATTTATATGATCTAACTTCGGATTCTCTTGCTGTACGGGTACACACGATCACTGGACCTCACGATGATTCGGAATCGTGTCGTGGTGGTGAGTTGATAGAGTTTTTTTTGATAAATATGATTACAAAGAATCATTCGAAAGGTATATTATCTTTTTTGGGTATTGATTTACCTAAATCAAATCAAAATATCAAAGATCTTTTCAAAGAAATCGACAAAAAATGGAAAAGAGATGCGATGAGTGAACGGCTCATTGCTTTTTCCTTTTTTTTTTTTCATTTCTTTACAAATCCTTCTTTCTTTCCATAAAAAGTGATATATTGTTGATCTTTTCTTTCTTTCTTTCTTTCTTTCTATCTTCCTTTCTTTCTTTCTTTCTTTCTTGCTTTCTTGCTTTCTTTCTTTCTTCATTTCTCTTTCTTTCTTTCTTTCTTCTCCTCATTCATTCCCTCATTTATTCAAAAGGAATGAAATGGAAAAGATTGAAACCATCAATTATATAACAAAATTCTTATTTGAAAAAGAATATAAAGAAAAAGCTAGTTTAAAGAAGATCTATTCTTAAAAAAAAGCCCAATTTCAGTCCACTAGATAGGATGTGTTTACAATTTTGAGCAAAAAGTATAAGAATTCAATTGGTTTAGTGTATTTTATGCTCAAAATTATAAACGCATTCAATCCGGCTCCGTGATATCTTCGATTCTTTATGTTCTAAAGATTTCAATGCGCCAGACAGGCATCTAAAAGTTCGAGCACAAAGTACACCCAAGAAGGATCAAGTGAAAGCCAGAATTTTGTTAAAAATTTGATTTAATTGATGAAAAATTGATTGAAATTAAGAGTACATTGCATAGAACTACATAAATAAACTACAGTCGAACCTCTCTATAACGAACCTCGATATAACGTAAACCTCTCTATAACGTAAGGCGTGACCGGTCCCGGCCGACGTTAAGCTATATAAAACGGCACTCTATATAACGTAAACCTCTATATAACGTAAGCTATAGCCGTCCCGTGAGTTACGTTATAGAGAGGTTCGACTGTATATTAAACTATATTAAGCTAAATTTTGCTTTGTTAAATCAAAAATTTTTAGGTAAAAACGACAGCTGCAACGAGCCGAAGCGTCCATTCAACTCGAACACGAAAGCATTAGCTGTTTACGACAAATCGAGTAAACTTATCGAGTGCACCTCACTGTTTCAGGTAAACAATTGAATAAATAGCCATAAACATAAGAAAATTCGGCTCTTTCGTAGTTTCCGGGTATTTTTCAAAAGAATCCGGGTATTTTGGAAAAATCCAGGTATTTTGAACGGCTCCCCACACTTTGAAGGCCTTTAACTTTGTCCAGGGATCATCTTTTTGCTAACTTTTTATATCATTGTATAGAGGACAGTTCAGGCTTTCAAATGATACCTAATAGAGCTTGATTGAATTTTTCTTTCTTATGCAAACCATGCGACACGACATTCAAGTTGGATAGGCTTCATTTGCTCAGAGTTGGCTATGATTTTCCTGGACTGGATTATCCAATCAAACTCTACTAGGTATCATTTGAAAGCCTGAAATGTCCTCTATACAATGATATAAAAAGTTAAGAAAAATATGATCTCTGGACAAAGTTATAGGCCTTCAAAGTGTGACGAGCCGTTCAAAATACCTGGATTTTTCCAAAATACCCGGATTCTTTTGAAAAATACCCGGAAACTACGCAAGAGCCGAAAATTCCATTTTAAAATCTAATTCCACCTCGATCGTTTCAGAAATTTGTCTAGAAGTTGATAAAAACAAGTAACTGGCTAAGGAAATGATGATGGATAGTTTAGCTTAGATAGTTTAGCTATAAATGTCTAGAAATCTATCTAGATCTATCTAGATATCTATCTAAATATCTAAATATCTAAAATCGAAATCTTTAAATTCTAGGGTCGTTGCCGTCTTCGCAATTTGCACAACATAAGCGAGGCGTTAGCTGAATCAGAGAATCCGATCATTGCAAACGATGAGGAGAGCACTGTAGTGGTTGGTTTTTAAATCGCTACTATAGATATTATATGTAAATTTATAGATTTTAAATATTAGCTCTAAATTTGACGCTTCGTTTAGGTCTTTGTTGGCTCAGGCCCGAAAGATCGATCGGTTCTCTACGTTGCGTCCACGTTTGTCAAGGTACTATTTGGGAATACTATTACTTTATTGTACTTATAAAATAACTAAGCTAGAGTAGATGTTAGTTACATTTCTTCTAGTACAATATCTCCCAAAGATTGGCTTCAATTTCTTTCGAAAACTGACTCAATTTAAAGTAATTGCAGCGATGTTAAGCTCCGCCTCCTTTTTTTGTCGTTTTGCCGTTGGCAATCTACGAATTTTGCTCATATCTTGATCAAATTTGTTTGAAAAACGTTGAATTTACTTTGCTGAATTTGAATTCGATAGAACAATTCGATTTCGAGTCGATTGAAAATTTGTAGTCGAATGAAAGTTTGTAGTTTGTAGCGCTCATGTCTACTTCTCTAAGCCTAAGCCTAAGCCGAGCAAAATACATAAATTGCCAACGGGAAACCGACCAAAAAGGAGGCGGAGCTTAACATGTCTATGTACTTGTAAGCTAAAGTGATTGAGATATTATAGAATATTATAGAATTCAATAGTACTTTTCTCAAAAGTGTTCCCGATTTACAGGCGAAAAACGAGCGTGCCCAGTCGTACCGAGAGGACATTCCAGCTGTCGCCTCGTTAGCTCTCGGAAAATCCGATAAAAACAAAGAATTCGATAAAGAAGTAAGATAAATATGATTAAGAATAAGAAATCAAAAAGAAGATTTGAAGATCAAAAGATTTGAAAATCTTTTTAGTATATATACTTTATCCGACAAGGAAAAGTGACAATGCAAACAGATTGAACAGCGTAGACGAAGAAAGATAATTGATATACAAACACAACTACAATTAGACACGCGTATATATGACATTAAAAACTAATTTAAAATTGACAGAGCTACAAGATCGAGCTTATATATTGAGGATTTAAAATAGTTCAGAGACGAAAAAATATCACAAGGTAACTTATTCCAAATACGAGGAACACGACAAGCAAAAGAATGATACAGTTGGCGGTTATGAAAGCTTTGAAAGGGGGTAATCTTTTTATTAAATCTTTTTATCAATTCTTTTTATCAATTCTTTTTACTAAATCTTTACAAAAGCTTCCTATTCCTTTATAAATGAAAACGATGTTGTGAAACGATCAAAAAACGATCAAAAAATAAAAGCAAATCCTTTCTAGTGCATTTGATTCTTTAGTTTTCTTATTTCTGAAAGAAAAATGAAAAATTCATTGCATCAGAAAAGCTAAAAGTACAGTGAAAAGCTTGAAAAGCTTGAAAAAGCTTGAAAAAGCAATGAATTTAGGAAATCACACTCACCGCTGGCACCTATATCAACTTGAATGCACGATATAGAGACAAGTACAAGTGAGTCAATGGATAAGCTTATCACTACTTGTTAAAACAAACTTTCTAATACAAACTTTCTAATACAGACTTGTTAGTCTTTTTCAACGATCACAATTCAGCTGTTCAGCTCTTTAAGAATTAAGCTAAATATTGAATGTAAACTATTACTTTAAAACTATTCTAGAATCGATTATGTTGGTGGTTTCGAGGCTGGCGATTTTGCCTATTTTGCGACCCGGCAACGTACAAGAGTGAACGAAGAACAAGGATATTCGGTTCTTGAGAGTAAACTCGTTCGTGTTTGCGCTAAAGATCGCAATTTCTTCTCGTATACTGAGGTTTGTTTGGGAAATGAAAGCAAGGATTCTTTGTTAGAATTTGGACTTGAATCAGAGCAGAATTCTAGAAAATTCTAGAAAATTCTATGAACTTTACAGTTTTTTTCTAGGTATCGTTAGAATGTCGAGATCGAGACGTTGACTACAATCTCTTGACCGATATTTACGTCGGGAAAGCCGGCTACGATTTGGCAAAATCTTTGGACATTTTGTGAGTTTATGAAAAGAATTAATGGAATGGGTCAATGAATTGAATCAATGAACCCAATCAATGAATTCAATCAATGAACCCAATCAATGAACCCAATCAATGAACCCAATCAATGGATCCAATCAATGAACCCAATCAATGAACCCAATCAATGAACCCAATCAATGAATCCAATCAATGAACCCAATCAATGAACCCAATCAATGAATCCAATCAATGAACCCAATCAATGAACCCAATCAATGAACCCAATCAATGAACCCAATCAATGAATCCAATCAATGAACCCAATCAATGAACCCAATCAATGAATCCAATCAATGAACCCAATCAATGAACCCAATCAATGAACCCAATCAATGAACCCAATCAATGAATCCAATCAATGAACCCAATCAATGAACCCAATCAATGAACCCAATCAATGAATTCAATCAATGAACCCAATCAATGAATCCAATCAATGAACCCAATCAATGAACCCAATCAATGGATCCAATCAATGAATCCAATCAAATCCAATCAAATCCAATCATAACACATGCCGAGAGCTGTTCTTTAGATCCACTTTTTATTCAAAATTACTGTCATATTTTTAGGGAAAGCGAACAAGTTGTCTATGGTGTCTTCCAGATGGGCGATCAGAACTCGAGTCGGAGAGAGGTACGTTCAAACACTTCTAATTCTACGTTACTGTAAATACATAGCTACATTATCTTTATTGATTTTTTTAAGCTAAGTTTAATATAGATTTTTTTTCTAGCCAGTTCTAAGATCACAATGATCTCGGATCTAAAATTGTTTCAGGTTCCAACCACCGACTCGGCACTTTGCGTTTTCCCAATGAGAGATGTGGAAAAGCTCTTTCAAGAAAACGTCCTTGATTGTTTTAAAGGAAATAAGCACAAAGTAAGGAAAGCTGGCTGGCTAATCTGTAAATTTTCTATGTATAATGTTTTATCTAAACTTCTCTATACTAGAGAGTGCGTTTAGCATGGCCGGGTTCGATCTAAGCGCCTCAATCTAAGCGCCTCAATCTAAGCGCCTCAATCTAAGCGCCTCAATCTAAGCGCCTTGATCTCAGCGTCGATCTCAGCGTCGATCTCAGCGTCGATCTCAGCGTCGATCTGAGCATTGAAGCTTACTGAACAACAACTAACAACTAAAGCTTATAAAAATCTAATCGATTTTATAATATAACCTAGTTCTTTATCTATTCTTTATGCAAATTCCTCTAATTTCTTATCTAGGGCCTCGAGTGGATGAACCGAAACGACAATTGTGTGTCAACGAAACTCCCATGGAATCAGATGAAATGCGGCAATGATGTGAACAAATATATTGGTGGAGTGTATCCAATCAAGAGTCAACCCGTACTCAAACATCATTCAAGGTAGAACAAGGGGAATTTTTGATTCAAAAGAACGAACTAGGTTTATTCTTGGTAATTAACCTACTCGCCCCCCACTGCAGTATTCAAGACAAAGCTGCCTAAAGCTTAAGATTTTATCTAGACATACTGTAACAATTCTACAGTAGAACCCGACAATTACTCCTTTAAAATAAGGTTTAGATTCACTGCGGTGGCGGTGAACACGACACACGGGACGACGATCGCTTTCGTGGGCACTGATGACGGACGATTGATTAAAGTGAGTTTAAAATGTAAATTATTTTAAGTTAAATGTTAGTCAGAGCTTGTCTAGAGTACAAATAAGCTTTTACTTTTATGAATTTACTTTACTGTGGCTAGATCGTACTGTAAGGTTGATTAGAAAAGCTGGTTTGGTTTGGAAAAGCTTTCGACTCGATTTTAGTATTGGATTGGACGGGTGTAGAGCTTTGGACTAGATTCTAGAATTGGATTGGATTGGTGTAGAGCTTTGGACTAGATTTTAAGATGTGATTTGATTGGAATAATGCTTTGGACTAGATTTTAGAATTCGATTGGATTGGTGTAGAGCTTTGGACTAGATTCTGGCATTAGACTACCTTTTTTTTCACTTGAAATTGTCATAAAGTCATTGTCATTGTCATTCCCATTCTCATTTCCCTTTTCAACAAGTATCTCAAGTTCTAGTAGTACATCATCATAATTAATCGAGTAAGGAGAGTTCTAGTAGCGATGTGAAAAAGAAAAGGGGAAAAGGGGATGCACGGGGATGGGAGTTGATTCGTATGCAAATATCCATCCTTTGAGTCTCTTTGAACGAAAGAAAGGGTGCCAATCAATCGGATAAGAGCAAATGGGCACTCTATCTCCATCCCATGCAAATTCCCACGCATAATTCCCGCGATTCAAAGCAAAATACGGAGGGGAAAAGTTCAAGTGATGTGTTTATAAAAGAAAAGAATATTATTCTGTTTATGAAATCTAAATAAGTCTAAGTCAGATAAGTCTTATGACTTATCTGAGTCTAATAAGTCTAAATAAGACTGTGATAAGCTAGCTTTTTATAACGAAACGTTACCAATACGAGATCGTATGCTGCTTTGCATAAACATTTAGCTTTTAACATGCTCACTAGAGAATTGAGGTCTACTAGAGAATTGAGGTTGACTAGAGAATTAAGCTCTACCAGAGAATTGAGCTCTACTAGAGAATTGAGATCTACTAGAGATTTGAGCTCTACTAGAGAATTAAGCTCTACTATAGAACTGAGCTCTACTAGAGAACTGAGCTCTACTAGAGAATTGAGCTAGAGAACTTTAAGGAGTCTTTTTCTAGTTGTTAAAGACATTTAGATCATCCAATTGTAACCATAATAAACATTGAACTAAATCAATCCACAGAACATAGATATACATAGATACGAAGATAGAACATAGATACGAAGATAACAAACTCATTTTTGATTTCTCTATCCTGATTTAAACGTCAAATTGGCACTATAATCTAAAAGTTCATTTCCAGATCGCAATTCAATCAAAAGAAAAAGCTTTTGTCTATGACGAGTTGCACGTTTCCCTCAATGAACCCATTCTACAAGATCTTGAGTTCACCGACACCGGGAAATACGTCTACGCACTGACGCCGACAAAGGTTTGTGGCAAGTTTGATTGAAATTCAAATTCAAATCGTTCAAATCCTTCAAATCCTTCAAATCCTTCAAATTCTTCATTTGAACAAGGAAACAGAACTAATTTTGTTTGCTTTTGAGGGGAAGTCGTTGAGACAAGGGTTGATCCTAAAAACTAGAAAACTAAAGCCTCAAAATTCTAAACACGCAACATTTTGGGTGAAAGTTGGATTTGGATCTAGTAGAATAGATATTTAAGAGTTGATTTGAAAGAAAAACTTGTGGGAATTGAAAGATATTATCTAAAGAAATATTTAAATTATTTGGCTTTACAATAAAGTTTTTCTAACTTGGCGAAATGAAGCCTTTTGCCTTGAGTACTCTGAAAATGAGGCCAAGCTTAGTAAATAATATTTAAATATTATCTGATATTATCTAAAGAAATATCTCAATTATTTGGCTTTACAATAAAGTTTTTCTAACTTGTCTAAGGCTTGTATAAGCCTTTCGCCTTGAGTACTCTGACAATGAGGCCAAGCTTAGCAAATAATATTTAAATATTATCTAAACTTTAAACTACAATTGACCTTGATAATTTAAATCCATATTTACACATAGTTAGATCTGTTAATCCATAGTTACACATAGTTAGATCTGTTTCAACCTTGTCTAATGTCTCGTGTACTTTTCTGTGCTAACTTACAAACGAATCCTTTCTAACGCATTGAATTTTTTTATGTTTGCAAAATAAGCAAGAAAATTGGGAATTCAGTGCACGAGAAAGAGTGCGTTTTTAGGCAGAAAGTGCACTTAACCTAAAGGACAACCATTCCATAAAGGTTGCCGTTTTTTTTTTTAAATTCTATTAGAACTCAAATGGATATATCCATAGCTTTATTGGAGTGTTCATAATTGGATATGCCGCCTTTCAAATGAATGAGAGAAAAGATCGTTTCTTTTTCTTTAAAAGATGCTCTTCGATGTCAAGGTTGAATAGGAATGGGGAAAGGAAAGAAGGGAAGGAAAGAAGGGATGGAAAGAAGGGATGGAAAGAAGGGATGGAAAGAAGGGATGGAAAGAAGGGATGGAAAGAAGGGATGGAAAGAAGGAAAGGAAAGAAGGGAAAGAAAGGAAAGAAAGAAAGGAAAGAAAGAAAGGAAAGAAAGAAAGGAAAGAAGGGAAGAATAAAGAATTGAGAAGAAGATAATTGGTCTGTCCATCTCTTTTCATTCAAAGAAATTCAAAGCGAAGAGTTGCCGGTCAGCTGGAAAGAAGAGACATTTACTTTAGATTTAGATGGGTATCGGAGGGATTTGAACATAAAAAATGGACTTGTAGTTGCAAGTAGAAGTTGTTGAATCTTACAATATTAAAGAAATTACGTTTATCATAAACATACAGATGCTACAGAGTTTACTGCAGATAAAAATGTGCTTAACATTGGAGAAATTTGCCGTTAGTTGCTTAAAATTGTCTACATTCTTATTGTAGCTAATCTTTTGAATGATTCATCTACAATATTCTTGAATAGCAATTTATCTACAGTAAGATTAGCTCTGTGATGATTCAACAAAGCCGTTATTTACTGTAGATGAATTACTCTACAAGAGACGGATTACTGATTTGAATGGAATCTACAGTAATCTAACTACAGTAATCCGTCTCTTGTATAGTAATTCATCTACAGTAAGTAACGGCTTTGTTGAATCATCACAGAGCTAAATGTTTTGATAAGTTGAAGTGATTTGAATGGAATCTTTCCATCGTTGTTGGATGAGAGCATAGAAAAACAATTAACAATAGCATATCTCAAGATCTAAATATCTATAAATTCCTTGTTTATCTATTACATCAATACATATAATCATTTTCAGGTGATTCGCGTGCCAGCCTCAGACTGTGGAGCTCTCTCAACGCATTGTGGTGGCTGTCTGTCGAAGAAGGATCCATACTGTGGATGGTAAACATTTATCAATATCTTTATTTTCATTTTAATTTCATTTTCCTTTCATTTCTAAAGTGACTTTAGGTGTGATTTGAAAAATCAGTGCACTGAGCAGGCAAATTGTGGCAACTCGACGGTGACGAATCTCGGCTGGCTCGATTATCAGAACAATTTGTGTCCAAAGTTCGTTTTAAATGAGGTTTTAAGTAAATTACATATATCTAAAGATATATTCTTTAAGAAATCTCGATTTATTTCTAAAATTCTAGCATCAAAAGCGTTGTGCCCGCGCAAATTCAAGTGACCACAGCTGACTACATCAATGTCACTTTGGAGAATGTTGGAGAGTCGAAAGGACGTTTGCGATGTCAATTCAAGTAAATTAAATATAATAGATGCATTTTTAAAAAGAAATTGATATAAAATTTCTATATAAAAGTTCAAATTTATAGAAGTAATCGTAAGAAAAATCTTTCGCAACCTTTCGCAACCTTTCATAACCACAACTCATTTCTTTTTCGTCTTTAAATCAATTCTAGACTTAAAAAGAGTAAAAACCTCTTTTATTTCCTTATCTTTACAATAAAATAAGAACTAAGTGTGCTAGAAAGGGTGTGTTTCTAACCTTTTTTGGGTAAAAAGTTCACCAAAAACTCTATCAGATGTAGGCGTCAGAGTTTCAAGCATTCACTGCATTCATTGAGCATTCACTGAGCATTCACGGAGCTAAAAACTCTTCTAATAGATATTTCTTTATCTAATCTAACAGATTTAATAATTTAATAGATCTAATCTAATAGATCTAATCTAATAGATCTAATCTAATAGATCTAATCTAATAGGTTGATGCATAAGTCTTTTCGTTTTTTTCGTACTTCTGTTAAAAAGTAACAAATTCACCAATTAATCTATAGTTTGCTCTATAAAAAAAAGTGTTTTTTTGTTCAATTTGCATCTTTTTAAATGAATTTCGGTTGACTTTCAAGCAAATTCGAGAGTGAAAAACGCCTTTTTCGTAAAAATCTATAAAAAACTCTACGGAAAAATTGGCTGAATGAATTTCTCTGAAATTTTGGCGAAATATCAAACGTTTTTTTTCTCTATCTTTTATCTATTGACACGAAGATAGGTTTTCTTTAGCTAAGGTGTCTAAACCGCTCAGGCTCAGGCTCAGGCTTAGCCTGGGCCTGAGCCTTGGGCCGGGCCTAAACCGCATCATCGAGTTAGCCCTTTTTGACTACCCGACTTCATACTCTCAAGAAAATCCAGGCATTAAATATTTTTAAACCCGTTTTAATGTTATTTTGCAGAAAAATAATTGCTTTTTCTAATGAAATCAACCGTAGTTTAATTCGTGCATTTGTTGGCTTGAAACGGCAGACGAAAAGGAACGAAAAGACTTATGCATCAACCTATTAATAGATCTAATCTAATAAATCTAATCTAATAAATCTAACCTAATAAATCTAATCTAATAAATCTAATCTAATAGAGCTAATCTAATAGATATTTAATAGATATTTAATAGAAATTTCACTTAATACTTGAAAACTTTTAGATTCTTCGGCTCGAATGGTCAAACGGTGGACGTCGAGAAGCCGAAGCACTATGATGCACTTGATGGGTGAGAGTCTATCTACATCTACATCTATCTACAAAGGCTTGAAGCTAAAATCTAGATCTAGATCTAAATCTATCTAGATCTAAATCTATATCTGATATATCATGTTACAGTACTCTTCGTTGTGCCACTCCTCCATTCAATCGTATCCCAGTGATTCCACCAAATCAATCACACATCAACGCGACGCTAGCCATCACACCGGAAGGTATATTAGCTAAAAATAGCTTAAAAAAATAGCTAATGATAGATATTTAGCTAAAAATCCATATTTTAGGAAGATTGGCCCCAATTGCGACTACGAATTTTACGTTTTACGATTGTGGACGGTACACGAGTTGCAGTGAATGTACGAGAAGTGAGTGAAGGATTTGGATTACTGTAGATTACTGTAGATTATTGTAGATTACTGTAGATTACTGTCACGCTTCACTTTCTGCATTTTAGCAAAGTTTTTATTCGCTTCTTTTCTAAAAGAGTTTGCTAAAATGCGAAAAGTGGGTTGCTTTTGTTTCGACTCTTTTACTGATGGTGGATTGGATAGCTTAAGTCATATCTAAACTATATAATAGATAAAATAACTATCTACTATTAAATAATTGAATGCAGGTGCTTTCCCTTGTGATTGGTGCTTGGAAGCGAACGAGTGTGTGGATGGGAAGTTGACCGAAGACAAGTGCCGGAAACAACACTTTGTCAACGGGATTTCGGTAAGCTGAAAGGGGGATTTTAAATCGAGATATTATTGGGTTGGTGAATTGAAAACTGCGGGACTTTGAACTAAAATTTATTGAACATAAAACCATAAATTCATTCCAAATAATTTCCATTATTATTGACGACTTGTGCCCATTTTACAGGCAATTTGAGGATTCCTCTTTCGTGGTAGGATTTTGGTTTGTGTGTGAGACAAGTGTGAGACTCAAAAATGGAGGACTGGAGATCTGGAGATGTCCCAGTTTGAGCACTTTCTTCAAAAGAAACCCATTTTGGTGTGAATAGAAAAGTTGTAGAGAATCAAAAATCAAGCTTATATCCTAATTTTCAAAAAGATACACTTAGTAGTTTCGCTTAAAATGCAAGTTTTAAGCAAAAATTCGTAAATTTGGCATTTCTTGAAAACGAGTTTTTGAATCGTTCTGAAAATTTGGATATAAGCTTGATTTTTGATTCTCTACAACTCTTCTATTGACAACAAAATGGGTTTCTTTTGAAGAAAGTGCTCAAAATGTCACATATGACAACAGCCGGCGGTTTTCAATTCATCAACCCAATAGATTGAGATTAGCCTTGATTTGCGGAGAAGTCAATGCCCAATTTGAGGATTCGGAGCCGGCCAGATTAGTTTGGCGATGGCAGGGGAATGTAAAAGCTATGTAAATGTAAAAGTCCTGCGCCAGACGACGAGCGATTACGCGGCTGCACAAAGAACGCACAACACAAATTTTAAGCGAAACTACTAAGTGTATCTTTTTGGAAATTAGGATATAAGCTTGATTTTTGATTCTCTACAACTTTTCCATTGGGACCAAAATGGGTTTCTTTTGAAGAAAGTGCTCAAACTGTCACATATGACATAGCTCGCAGTTTTCAATTCACCAACCCAATAACTATAGATATTTGATATAGATTCTGATGTTTTTCATTAGTATTATAATATAATATTTTCAGCGAAAAGGTCAATCCTCTCGTCAAGGGCCGAATCATTGCCCGTACATCAAGGCGCCGCACGGGAAAATCTTTGTGGCTGCCGGGGAGAGGAAAAATATTACAGTAAAGGTAGATAATAGTTAATAATATTAGTTTATTGATTTAATAATAAGTGTATTTTCTAAAAGATATCTTAGAAAGGTCATAAAATTCACGATCAGTTTACGCAATGTTTAAAGTAGTCTTTTGAGTCGATTAACAACTGAATTAAAAAAGAATTACGATAGTATAAATGCCTTTTAGAAAAGCTAATCTAAAATCTCTTTTAGCTAATCTAAAAGCTTTCAGATCTCAAATCTTGACCCGACTTACATGACGGATTTTCGATGCACTTTTCGAATCGGCACAATGATGCATGATAAAATCGCTCGATTGGAAGGAGAGGAAGCTGTTGTGTAAGTGCAAAAGTTCATCAATTTCATCAATTTTTTAACTAGATTCTAGATTAACTGAATATCTGAATATCTGAATATCTGAATATCTGAATATTTTAGCTGCGATGAGATGCGCTTTGATCAATCAGAACTCTCGATGAAAGACGGCACAGCGCCAGTCGATTTTCAAGTGGTTTGGTCGTCGACAATCTCTGAAATCAGTCACTCATTCGATAATGTCAATGGGACAGCTGTTGAGGTAAGGCTTTTTATAGCTAGTAAAATATGAATTTGAATCAACGAAGACAAAATTCTAATCAAAGTTAGCTAAAAACAAGCGTCGTTGTTAGTATTGCGATGTACAGATGTGCTCTCACTTTGCCACCATTTTTCTTGTACTAAATAGCAATTCTTCTAAAAGTTTTTTATATCATTGTGTAGCCCAAATGAAGGGCTACATTTTGATATCAAACTCAAACAAAACGAAAGTTCTGGTAAATGGGAATTCCATTTGGCGCAATTCTCAATGCCCAATTTACAGTACAAGTCGTTCTAAACAGTACAAGTTGTTCTAAACAGTTCGTCCTAAACAGTACAAGTCTTTCTAAACAGTACAAGTCGTTCTAAACAGTACAAGTCGTTCTAAACAGTACAAGTCGTTCTAAACAGTACAACTCGTTCTAAACAGTACAAGTCTTTCTAAACAGTACAAGTCGTTCTAAACAGTACAAGTCGTTCTAAACAGTACAAGTCGTTCTAAACAGTACAACTCGTTCTAAACAGTACAAGTCTTTCTAAACAGTACAAGTCGTTCTAAACAGTACAACTCGTTCTAAACAGTACAAGTCTTTCTAAACAGTACAAGTCGTTCTAAACAGTACAACTCGTTCTAAACAGTACAAGTCTTTCTAAACAGTACAAGTCGTTCTAAACAGTACAAGTCGTTCTAAACAGTACAAGTCGTTCTAAACAGTACAACTCGTTCTAAACAGTACAAGTCTTTCTAAACAGTACAAGTCGTTCTAAACAGTACAAGTCGTTCTAAACAGTACAAGTCGTTCTAAACAGTACAACTCGTTCTAAACAGTACAAGTCTTTCTAAACAGTACAAGTCGTTCTAAACAGTACAACTCGTTCTAAACAGTACAAGTCTTTCTAAACAGTACAAGTCGTTCTAAACAGTACAACTCGTTCTAAACAGTACAAGTCGTTCTAAACAGTACAACTCGTTCTAAACAGTTCGTCCTAAACAGTACAAGTCGTCAAGACTTTGCCAAAAGTTAAAACTTGCTGAAGATCAAGTAAAGATCATGCTTAGGAATTGAAGAGAAGATCTTGAAGAGAAGATTGGAGAGAAAATTTTAACTCCAAATTCAGGTCTATCGATGCGAGGAGTTGGCGTCAAATTGTGGGCTTTGTCTCTCGTTGGATCCGTCAAAATTTGACTGTGGATGGTGTGGAAAAGATAGCAAGTTTGTTTACCAATATATGTTGATAATATTGTTTAATTCAACTTTTAGATGTGTACGTCCACGAGCGTGCAAATGGCGTAAGCCGAGCGATTGGTTGAACTCGACCCAGTTGTGTCCACATCCAACAGTCGCCTCGTTTTCACCGAAGAAAGGACCAAATAGTGGAAGGACAAGGGTTTGTCTAAGAGCAAGAAAATAGACAAATCTTTGTTTTAAAGACTTGCAAAGTTATATTGTGCTCCTTTTTGACAAGGTTTTCGTTCAGGTTCAGGTTATAGATCAAATCTTTTTGTAACTCTAACGTTACAAAAAGCTTTTTAGCTTCTAGCGTTCTAGCTTCTAGCGTTCTAGCTTCTAGCGTTCTAGCTTCTAGCGTTCTAGCTTCTAGCGTTCTAGCTTCTAGCGTTCTAGCTTCTAGCGTTCTAGCTTCTAGCGTTCTAGCTTCTAGCGTTCTAGCTTCTAGCGTTCTAGCTTCTAGCGTTCTAGCTTCTAGCGTTCCTAGCTTCTAGCGTTCTAGCTTCTAGCGTTCTAGCTTCTAGCGTTCTAGCTTCTAGCGTTCTAGCTTCTAGCGTTCTAGCTTCTAATAGTACCGTAGTCCAGTAAGCCTTACTATTAGATAAATCTTGTTAACTATTAGATAAATTAAGCTAGTGCTGCTAGTGTAGCTCATTTCTAGAATGTTTGCCTGATAAGCGAAAGGTCTCGGGTTCGAATCCCAGAACGAATCCCAGAATATTTTAAAGCTCATTCCCAGCACCAGCTTTGATGGACCCAATTTTCTATAAAACAATCGCTTCAGATCCGTGTAATCGGCTCGAATCTCGGTCGATCATTTATGGACTTGAATGGCGTTGTTATGGTGGCTAATGTGCCTTGTTTGGTTGGGAAAATGGATTTCATCTCGTCATCGGAATTTTTCTGCACAACTGGCCAAGCACCTGTCCCATTAAGCAAAGGTTTAGATTCAAAAAAAACCTTCTTAAAACTCGTAATTTTGTATAGGAGAAGTGGTGATTCGTTTGCAAAACTCGGATAATTTCTACGCCGTCACCAGAGATCAATTCGCATATGTTGAGGGAAAAGTTGAAGGAATCCAACCGAATGAAGGGCCACAATGGGGAGGAACTGATGTGGTGTTGAGTGGAAATGATCTAGATGCGGGAAGCGAGATGTTGATCAAGTGAGTCTGAAGACTTGATGCATTTTGCATTTTGCATCTACAAACAAATGGCTTACGGAGTGTTCTACAAACAACACTTCCTAAGCCCTAAACGTACAGAATAATACAGATCCCTATGCCTAATTGTTAGCAAGAAAACCCCATATAAAAAATAAAAAAATTTGCCGGCGGAGTCGAACCCTCGACCACTCGACTAGGACACTAGGCTCCTAGCCAGTTGGCTACGACGACCAATTGGTTCGGCTGGCTCAAAGCCGATTTAAATGCCACCCCGTTTATTAAGCATTTATTGAGTTTTTTTTTAGATTCGGCGAATCCCCATGCACTGTGCTGAGCCGAAACGCAACGCATGTCCGATGTCGAACGAGCACCGTTCAATCCGATCCATCAATGCAAGGAATCTCTCAAACCGATGTGAATGTCACGGTTTTCGTTGACCAAGCCCCGCTAAAAGTGCACAACTATGCACGATTCAAGTACAGGTACACAATACAACAAGATTTCACCCAACCATTATTTCTTTTTTAGCCCAAACCCCCAAACGCAGCGAGTCACTCCGGAGCACTCGATCATTGCCGGTGGGATTACGGTGGATGTGGAGGGGAGCGGCTTCCGTTTATTGCAGAGACCCGCAATGCTTTTGTACGCTGATGGACGTGCACCACAGGTATACCAAAATCTCTAACTACTAGCTAGGTAAGTGTTGTACATAATTGTAATGCAGCTGTAGAAGGGTTAGTACGATAGAATGGTTACAATTGGATGGTAATAGTTGAAGAGGTTACGGTAGAAGGTAGGTTTACGGTTACGATAGAAGAATTACGATTACAGTAGAAGGGTTACGGTAAAAGGGTTACGGTAGACGGCTTACGGTAGAAGGCTACGGTAAAAGGGTTACGGTAGAAGGACTAAGGTAGACGGCTTACGGTAGAAGGCTACGGTAGAAGGCTTATTTTATAAAGGATACGCTAAAAGTATCAATGACAGACTTAGTGAAAGTGATTTAACACATAAGTCTATGCAAATTCCAGACTGGTCCTCCTTGCGTGATCGATTCGGACTCTTTAATGCTGTGCAAGACGCCGAGCTTCCCGGAGACGACCCGTCGACCAACTGTCTCCCATCCGATCATCGCTTCTTATGCTTTCAACTTTGACGGAAATCCCACAGAGTACTGTGCATGGCTTGGATAAAATGAAAGCTCGATTTCAGGAAACACCAATTCAAGATCTACCCAAATCCGAACATCTCGAAATTCTCGCAGACAAGATTTTACCGGCCAGGAGAGGACAGTTTATCGATAAATGCAATCGATGTGAAGGGGATCGCTTTTGAAAGGGATATACAGGTGGAGAAATAAAGGTTGAAGGAATTTCAAAAACTACAATAATTTTAGATTACGGTTGGCGGGGTTTTGTGTAATTTGAACGGGATTGGGAAAGACGCGTTGACGTGTCGGCCGCCGAATGTCAAGCCGGCTGTTGGTGGCGGAGTGCAACCGGAAGTGATTGTGAAGATCGGAGATGAAAGGTGAGATTGGGATATGTAAAAGATACTGTAATCATATGAAATTCTGAGTGAATTTATGGCAAACTTTCGATACTAAAAAGCTTTTGACATAGGAAAAGAAATCTGTTTTTGTGTTTCGGTTGAAATTTTTCTCAAAATATGTTTGGAACTCTTGAAGAGTTATAGAAATTCAAAGAAAACTGAATATGAATTTAAAGAGAAAGAGATTTAAAAGATATTCAGCTATCGCTTTCAAATTTCAATTCGGTTTTAAGCGGAAATGCAACTCTGTTAACGGTCTTGTCCAAGTGCTACAAGTGGTTCAGGGTTTACACTCAAACAAACGCTCATATCTTCACACCATTACGTTTCTTTCTGCTCGCTATAGTATCAAATTAAAGTAGAGAGAATGGGTAATCTTTTGAGATATAACACACGTTTTTAGCATTAACCAGTGCTTAGCAAAAAGTCATTGAAAAATGATGAAAAATCAGCTTTTTTTGCCACTTTTCAATCACTGTTTTTCTAAGCAGTCGTTAATGCTAAAAATATGTGTTATATCTCAAAAGATTACCCATTCTCTTTGCTTTAATTTGATACTAAAGCGAGCAGAAATAAAAGTATTGGTGCTGAGATACGAGCGTTTATTTGAGAGTAAATTTCGACGACTTAGAAAAAACTTGGACGTAGTGTTAGCTCTAGTTTGACTTAGGCTTATTGATCTTTATTTGGCACTAGATTAAACCACAGTATGATCTACCGTAATCCGCTATTTTGCTAAAGCATTTCCTTTCAGTTACCCAGTCGGCGAGCTTTCTTATGACTCTCAATCAGTCTCCTCAGCAATCATCGGTGTCATCGTTTTCATCACAATTATCATGGCACTTTGCTTGATTTGTGTCTGCATAATGTATAGGTAAATCTTTACTATGTGAATGTGACAAAAAACAATGTAAAATTCAGACGAAAAACGACTTCACACCAGCGCCAGATGAAGTACTTGAAGCACCAAATGGATTCGATTGAGATGAAAGTGGGTATCGAGAAATCTACAGTAGTTTAGATACAGTAATCTTTATATAAAGCTTTATCTTGATCTTTATCTTAATCTTTATCTTAATCTTTATATTAATTTTTATATTTCAATAATCTGCTTGTTTTCAGGTTGCTACTGAGTGTAAAGAGGCGTTTGCTGAATTGCAAACTTCTTTAAACGCATACACAGCCGAACTCCCACTCGGTTCATCGATGGTGCCGTTTCTCGATTTTCGTGAATACGCAGCTAGGGTTAGTTTCAAAAATCGGTTCATCGATCGAATATCATCAAGCAATCAATTTCAAAATCGATTTCTAGGTCTTATTCCCAAACACTCACAAGCATCCAGTGCTTCGCGAGCTGGAAGTGGACAGCGCTCGAGCGATGGCTGTGGAAAATGCGTTGCGAGAGTTTCATCGACTCATCCTCAATAAAGTGAGTGAGAAGAAGAGTGAAACTATTAGGTTGATGCAAAAGTCTTTTTCATTTTTTTTCGTACTTCCGTTAAAAAGTAACAAATGCACCAATTGAACAACGGTTTATTGCATTCGAAAGGCCAAGTATTTTTCTGCAAAATGACATTAAAACGAGTTTAAAATGTCTTCTGTCTAGATTTTTTTGAGAGCCTGAAGTCGGGTAGTCAAAAAAGGCGACGGCTCGATGATGCATTTTAGACGCTTTAGCTAAGGAAACCAATCTTGATGTTAATAAATAAAAGATAGAGCACAAAAAGTTCGATATTTTTTTCAGATTTTCATAGAAATTGATTCAGCCAATTTCTTTATAGAGGTTTTTATAGATTTTTATGAAAAACCCGTTTTCACTCTCGAATTTGCTTGAAAGTGAACCCAAATTGACTTAAAAAGATGGGAAATTTAGTATATATACTTTATCCGACAAGGAAAAGTGACAATGCAAACAGATTGAACAGCGTAGACGAACAAAAGATAATTGATATACAAACACAACTACAATTAGACACGTGTATATATGACATTAAAAACTAATTTAAAATTGACAAAGCTACAAGATCGAGCTTATATATTGAGGATTTCAAATAGTTATAATAATAATACTTTATTCAAACGATAAAGTGAAAGAAATGATAGAGAAATGCACAGTGATACTTACCGTATTTACTCTATTAGTGGGGTCCCCCACTATTTTTTCAATCCCCTTCCAGACGACCCCACTATTAGAGAGGACCCCACTATTAGAGAAATTTAAAAAGAACATAAAACCAAAGTTTTAAGTTGAAAAGATATCAATTTTTCTCCGAAATTCTTGAAAAAACAAGTTTGGCTTCATATTTTATTTAGCTTTAACCGTAACAAAACATTAACAAACAGTAAAAGAACTAATCCAAGAGATCAACAATTGATGTATCACTTTCGTTACCAATATTAGAGAGGACCCCACTATTTTTTCAACCCCCTTCCAGACGACCCCACTATTAGAGAGGACCCCACTAATAGAGTAAATACGGTAATCATACAATACATACTGAAATCAATAAGCCAATTACTTACGGCAAAGAGCCACTAGATCTAAAGCATCGATACGTTTCTTGAATATGAAAAGCGACTGAATTTCTCGTATGTCGTTTGGGAGCAAGTTCCATAATCTAGCGGCTCTAACGGGAAATGAATTTGATAAAGAGGCATTGGAAGCAAAGGGAATTTGCAAAAGGAATGAGCCACTTCTGGGCCCTGACCGCGGTTATAATATAAAATAGTTTAAAAATTGAACAATAAACACTTTTCATTTAGAGCAAACCATAGGTTAATTGATGACTTTGTTATTTTTCAAAAGAAGTACGAAAAAAATGAAAAAGACTTTTTGCATCAACCTAATAGATGAGATTATCAAAGAAAATCACAGTAAATCATTGTAAACCATAGTAAATCATAGCAAATCTAAAAAAAAAAAATCATTTTCCAATCATTAGCCTAGTTCAACGGTATTCAAAGGAAACCAGCTGACTTTTAAATGTGTTTTTTTTTGACTGAAACATATGCCTTCTAACTCAATTTATAGAATCTACAGTAATTTACTTAAAGAAATCTATTGGGTTGGGGAGAATGAGTCGGCGCCAAACTTTAAAGGGACTTTTTGCACACATAAAGCCTTCTTTAAACATTCGTTTGGTTTCATCAAAAGGATCCACTATTTCTCTACAAAATCACTTTTGAGAGATTCCACAAAGCTTTTCTTTCGTGGAGTTTATGGACTTCGAAACGCAGCTGGTTAAAATGGCAAAGAGTCCGACTCATCATTTGAACAGTTTCTTTCACATAAACCTTCTTTGGTGTTTATATAAAAAAAATAGAGCACATTCAATTACTTAAGTTGCCAAATTTGCAGGAAGATCCCACCAATGGTTTTTTCTAGATCACAGTTTGTAGTTTTTGTGAAAAAATGGCTTTTTCTTGAGCGGAGGCGCTGTTTGAATTTTCTTTTAAATGTCATTTTGTAGAGAATTAGTTAACCATTCTACTCATATCAAACGCATATTATTTGACAAAGTCGAATAGAAGTTTTAGACATTTTTTTGATTTTCGGCGCCGGCTCATTCTCCCCAACCCAATATCTAAATTTGAAGAAATCTATCTAAAATCGAAGAAATCTATCTAAAATTGAAGAAATCTATCTAAATTTAATGAATCGAAAACGAATTCTAGACCTTTTTGCTCACGTGGATTCGTGTGATGGAATCGAACAAGTATTTCCTGGGCAAAGATCGAGTTTACGTTGGCTCGCTGTTGATGGTTGTGTTGCAGGTAAATAAAGGAATAAAGGAAATCATTTATAAGCATATTCATAAGCTCTTTTTCAATAAAATAGAAAAAATTTCTAGGAGAAAATGGGTTATTGCACTGAAATCCTCAAGCAATTGCTGAAAGAGCTCATCGAGCGAACAGTCGAGAAGAAATTTCAACCGAAAATCTTATTCAGGTAAGTTAAGCTTGTTAAGATGTATTTAAAAATTTGATAGAAATCTATAATCTATAAGAATATCTATAGGAAATCTAGAAGAAATCTATAGATCTAAAGATATTCAATAGAAATTAGATAATTCTTGATTTACAGAAGATCTGAGAGTGTTGCTGAGAGGATGTTAGCAGCTTGGTTTACTTTCCTAATGCACAAACATTTAATGGTAAGTTTGTGTACTTTATGCTTAAACACACCCTATCTGGTGCACTTGACGCAATTCATTTTCTTCATTTTCTTCACTTCCTTGTACCAATTTGTTCATTTTCCTGTAAAAGCTGAAGAGTCAAGTGTACCAGAAAGAGTGCGTTTACACTTTCAACCACTCTTACTGTACTGTACTTGTACCGAACCTAGTACTGTACTGTACTTGTACTGAACCTAGTACTGTACTGTACTTGTACCGAACCTAGTACTGTACTGTACTTGTACCGAACCTAGTACTGTACTGTACTTGTACCGAACCTAGTACTGTACTTATTCTAGGCGTATTCTGAATCGGCTGGTCGAAAACTTTATGAACTCTATTGGGGTATCAAGCAGCAAATGGAGAAAGGACCACAAGATGCGCTTACTCTTGAAGCAAGGTGAGAGTCAGTTAGCATTGGCATCAAGGGCATCAAGGGCTCTAGAGTCAGGCCTGACCAGACTCTAGGGCTCTAGTGCAGCCTAAGCCTATGCCTTAGAGCCAGCTCTGACCAGGCTCTAGGTCAGACTTGGCCAGAGTTCTGTTCTGTAATCCTAGGCTAGGTCAGAAGCCAGGTCAAGGCCTGGCTCTAGACAAGCCTAGTTTTGTGGGATATCTGGTGACAGGAAGGTGACAGAACTTTTGGTGATGTAGATCACAATTCTAAATCAAATTCTTTCAGGTATTCTCTATCCGAAGAGAAACTCCTACGAGCCACCTTTGATTTCCGAGAGTTGACCGTTTTTGTGGCCGGAGATTTGACAATAAGCGGATATCCGCAACCGGATGTGCCAGTGAGGGTGCTTGATTGTGATACGATTACGCAGGTTTGTTGAGATAGAAAAATTAAGAACAGTTGTAGATGATTACTAAGAACAGTTGTAGATAATTACTACAGTACTTTGTGCTCACTTTTACTCAATACTTGAGATTTTTTCAGGTCAAAGAGAAATGCATTGAGGCAAAATTCCGCGCGGTACCCTATTCGGAGCGGCCGAAAGCTGAGGATCTTGATTTGGAGTGGAGAACGGGGATCAATGGGAGAATTTTGCTGCAGGTGAGAAAGTATCCTACACAGAGCACTTACAGAGCACTTGAAAACACTAAATCTCTCTGAAAGCATTGAATTTCAGAAGCTCAAATCATACAAATCATAAAATTCATACGAAAGAGCTTTACAGGACGTTGACAGTACATCACGAGTGGAGGCGGGCGGTTGGAAAAAGCTGAATACACTTGCGCACTATCAAGTTCAAAATAATGCCGTCGTCGCGCTGTTGACTCGGCAAAGCAGTCTCTACAATTTGGTGAGTGGAAAATAGAAATTAAATCTTATTCTAGAAATTCTAGAAATTTATTTAGATTAGAATTTAGATTTAAATTCAAAGATCCTCTAGCTCAAGACTGAACATCTTTAACTACACTTTTAACTCGACAATTCTGTAGAGTTGACAAAATGGTGCCAACTCTACAGAATTGTACTAATAAACTCTAGTACTTGTAGCTTTTTATCGTAATCCATCTTCTATTCTGCACTATTTTGATAAGCAAATTGCTGACAATACTGTAGTAAAGCCAGTATCGGTTATCGGATGTTTGATACACCCCTTTCTCAGTAGCAATCTAACTTTGAGCTCAAATATCTTTGTGTTAAGCTGCTCAATTCCAATATTCTTAATATAATTAGATGTGCCAAGTCTTGCTCTATCGATTAGTACAAAAACTATTGCAATTGAACAACCCAACACCAAGAAATTTGAGCTCAAAGTTGAAGTGCCAATGGAAAAGGAGCCGGGGCGCCATTTGATCCGCGCCCCTTTTGCCATTGGCACTTCAACTTTGAGCTCAAATTTCTTGGTGTTGAGTTGTTCAATTGCAATAATTTTTGTACCAATCGATAGAGAAAGACTTGGCGCATCTAATTATATTAAGAATATTGGAATTGAACAGCTTAACACAAAGATATTTGAGCTCAAAGTTGAAGTGCCAATGGAAAAGGGGTATCAAATATCAAATCAAATCAAATCAAATCAAATATCAAATCAAATATCAAATCAAATCCCATCTCTTTAATCAAAATTCTAATTTTAGTCTTTACTATCCGAGAGAAGCGAGAAATCAACAATGTCGTTGAAGAATTCCCCAACTTTGTCAAGACCTTTTGGTACTTCATCATCATCATATTCGAGAGATCACGATGGTCACCATAAATTGTATCATTTGGTGAAACCATCCGAGCATGGACCTGGCGAGAATCCGGAGAAGATGGTCACCGAGATTTATTTGACTAGGTGAGAAAAATTGTACACAAAACAATAAAAGAAAATTTACTTTGTACTCAAAGATGAAAACAGATCCTTCCTAAAGAAATAGAAATTGTTTTCTTGTTGTTAGGTCGACCGATAGTCTATAACATGATAGTCTATATCATTCGAAAGCCACAAATCTCTTCTCCAAGATAGGCTAATAAGTACACAGTTGATAGACAACGAATAGCGCCAAAAGCTAAGCCGATTTCAGATTGCTGATGATGAAGGGAACACTTCAAAAGTTCATCAACGATCTCCTCGAGGCGATTTTCTCGACAGGTGGCCGAACGGGTGGATTGCCGACTTGTATCAAGTACATGTTCGACTTTATGGATGATCAGGTATGAGGAAAATCTTGGGAATCTAAAAATATATCTTTACCCTTTAAGGCTCAAGAGAATGGGATCACTGATCCGGAGGTTGTGCACGCGTGGAAGAGCAATGCATTACCGTTGAGATTTTGGGTGAATCTAATCAAGAACCCGCACTTCCTCTTCGATATCCCGAAACCTACAAAGGTAAATGGTTGATGCTTGTTCAGGACGCTTGTTCCGTTTCAAAGCACTAGTATCTAGTCTATCTTGAAGCTGAATGATGTAAACTACTTGAATTAGGTTTAGATGGCTTTAGATGCATTATATCTTTAGTGCAGTACTTAAATCGAAATGCTTTTTTAGGTGGAGGGTTGTCTCTCCGTGGTCGGGAAATAGAAAATCAATAGAATATAACTAAAGTTAATCTACAGTACTTAAGTTAATTAGTTAAACTACAGTACTAACTAAAGTCAATCTACAGATACCGATACTGTATGGACATTAGTAGTTCTGTATTCTGAACTTCTGCTTAGGGCTAGCACTAGGACTTAGCCTATTGGTATAGTACCATATCAGTGCAGTAAAGTGCGCATAGTACTTGTGTGTAGTGCAAACGTACATTTCTAGTAATTGCAAACAAAACAAGTACCAATACTGGAACTAATGCAGTACTGAATAAGGCTTACTGCTGATAGCACTAATAGTTAGTCTACTAATACAGTATGTATCAGTACAATGATATATATAGTACTGATCCGTGCTGTAGTACTGATCCGTGCTGTAGTACTGGTCCGTACTGTAGTACTGGTCCGTGCTGTAGTACTGGTCCGTGCTGTAGTACTGGTCCGTGCTGTAGTACTGGTCCGTGCTGTAGTACTGGTCCGTACTGTAGTACTGGTCCGTGCTGTAGTACTGGTCCGTGCTGTAGTACTGGTCCGTGCTGTAGTACTGGTCCGTACTGTAGTACTGGTCCGTGCTGTAGTACTGGTCCGTACTGTAGTACTGGTCCGTGCTGTAGTACTGGTCCGTGCTGTAGTACTGGTCCGTACTGTGTGCATAGGACTGTACCGTCCTGGACGTCCTGTTTGAAACAGGACGTTCCGTTTCAAAGCACTAGTATCTAGTCTATCTTGAAGCTGAATGATGTAAACTACTTGAATTAGGTTTAGATAGCTTTAGATGCATTATATCTTTAGTACAGTACTTAAATCGAAATGCTTTTTTAGGTGGAGGGTTGTCTCTCCGTGGTCGCTCAAACTTTGATGGACGCTTGCTCTACTCAAGATCATCAGCTAACGAAAGACAGTCCATCAAGTAAACTCCTCTTCGCAAAAGACATGTACCAATATCGAGAACAAGTCGATTCGTAAGTTGAAAGAGATTGTCTTTTCATTTCAAAATTTCAAGCTATTACAACGAGATTCAACGGATGGATCCATTATCCGATCAAGAGATGCAATCATTGTTGGCTGAAGAGAGTCGACAGCACAAGGGGAAATTCTATGTGTTCTCGGCGTTGAATGAGTTGTACAAGTACTTGGATCAGTACAGAGATGGGCTCTTGGAAGCGTTGGAGCATAACGAGCAAGCACAAGCAGCTCGCTTGCCGGCTAGATTACAGGTAGGGAAATTACGAACTTTTGTCTATAAAAGTAGTTGTTGACTAAAGAGTTTGATATCTTAAAAAAAGACATGGATAAGTTCTACAGAATACGATAAGCAAGCTTTAGACTACAGTACTTTGTGATCCTATAGACTACAGATCTACAGACTACAGTAATTCTGTGCTACAAGTTAGTAATCCCAGTGTTTTATAGCTATTTTTAGCTCAACACTGTCTTTTTCGCATTCTGTAGTTCTTTTTGGTCTAGGATCCGTAAATACACGATTCACGAACTGAACAAGTACTCAAAGAATTAGGCCATTTGATCGTTGATCTCACGATAGTTTGTACTACCATATGTATTACCATACCATCAATATTACCTTATGGCTTTATCTATTGAAAGCGGTATACCAGATGGAATGCGATTATGCGCAAAGAACACTAGTCAGCACAAAAAAACAAAAGAAGTACCCAAAGCCGGGATCGAACTGGCCAGGTCTCGCTCTAAAAATGAACGCCGAACCACTCGACCACGACTGCCTCAAACCACACGTGCAAGGAGGCCGCTAAGACCCAAATGACCAGATTTTTAGAGTCCTAACAAAACTTTAGACGCTTATAACTCCTGACAGATTGTCATTTAGCAAAAACGGAATACATATTCGGAATCAGCATCAAATTTTCTATAGGCCATTTTTCTGTGGACCACCCTGTATATTCTAAATCAGCATCAAATTCTGCGTGGAATGGCATACCGTAAATACTGTAATAGTACCCCACCCCCATAATGACGGTGCGGAGTGTTACGTAGTCTAGCTTTGAACGAGTTTTTCTCGACACTGGTTTATGCTACAATGCTCGTTTAGGTATCAAAAGATAGCCCTGAATTTCAGCTATTTTTTGATACCAAAGACGCATTTTTTGAAAGTACGGGCGCTTTGAAAAAAATGAAATACGAAAAAAGATTTGCGACGACGCGACTGTACGAGGGGGGTGGTGGGGTGCTATTACAGTATTTACGGTAAGTGCATAGTATTTGACTCAACCAATTGACCTTCCCTTGTCAGATTGAGCTTTGATATTGTGTTTTATCACGGTTTACGATTGAATATCTTTGCTGAAAAGTTTTCTAGTTCTCAAATTCATTTAGCAAAAATCCAGTCAGCATTTAAAATTCTATAATTTTAGGATATGCTTGCCATGATGGAGTCTCAGCATGTGCCCGACTACGACGGTTCGACTCTCGGTCATCAGTACAATTCAGCGAGTCGACTAATGGGTCGTCATTAGAAAAGATCACTCATTTTTCCAAATCATTTGTCAATCTCTTTTCTCTTACATAACATTTCGGTGCTTTTGGCGATTCACAGCCAGTGAATGAATTTCATTTTTGCGTACGGCTCATTTCGTTTCTTCTAGTCGAACGGGTTTATTTTTGAGTGTACGATCAAAGAGGTAGCTATTGAGAATTTATTTGGTCTGGAGTTGTACTTTGTGTGTGTTCTAGTAAACGCGTGCTTTCTAGCACAACCTGTTATGGTTGGCGTGCCAGATAGTGCGGGTTTACTAGAGCACAAAGTGCTAGCCAAAGTTTGCTTTGACTCTAACTGTCTAGAAAACATTTACAATTACAATCTAAGCTTTTAGCATTAGCAATAAGTTACGGTAAATTAGCTTGATTCATTTTAGACTTTAATAGAATTTAGCTTTAGTACGATTGAGTATTTTGTGCTCTCTTTGATCGTAAAACAACCGATTTTTGTGTGTCTCCAACTGTGATTCCTAGACACAAATATTTTAAGATCAATCTACTTTTTCATCTTATTATTATTATTTTTTTTTTATTTCCAGGGTATCTCTTCTTGTTTCACTCATAATGATTCAAAAACAAAATTCCTTGAAAATTTCGAGATTCTCTTTTGTTGCCTCATTTCATATCGCAAGCCTTTCCCAAAAAAAATATTGCCAATTGTTTGCTAAAAGATGGACTTGTTTATCGATAAAATAGACAAAAATTACGGTGGAATATCGATGCAAATCTATTCTATTAAAAGTCTATTCTAAAAAACTGCTCAAATGTCTCTCAAAACCCCCCACACACTTGAACCAAATATTTTTCGATTATTATTTTGTTTTAGGATGGTGCTTTTGTGCTGATTTTTGAGCTTTAGACAACTCTGTTTACGTGAAAACATTGCAAAAATTACCCCAGAGTTGGCTACATTGATGAATATTGTTATTTGGAGACTTATCTGCCATAAATAAACGATCTAATTCTGTTTTGTGAAAGACAACAAAGCGACACCATATTAGTAGACATGGCAACGAGTTTTGCATTTTAGCAAACAACTGTTTTTGCTTGTTTTCTAAAGTGTAGATCTGTTAGAAATTTAACCCTTAGAAAACAAAATGCAGAAATGCAGAACTTACAGAGAAAACTCAGTTCAGAAGCGGTTAAACTATTTTTTTAGTTCATGAAAGTTATTCAATTAACGCAATTGATTATTTTACTTGATCGAATCGAAGGTGCTTGATTTTAGGTTCAGAGAAATGATGGACATAGAGAATTTTCAACAACCATCTTATTATTATTAAAAATGTCTTTCAATTTTGGTGCTTGTGTAATGTTTTTCTGATTTTCGGGTTTTTTTTTTGCAATGGATATGTAGCCAGCATCTACATATCCATTGCAATTTCTTTTAATCATTGTTCTTTCCCTTTAATTTTACTATAAGACATTTATTAGTACTAATAGAACCAAAATTAAAATACAAACATCTACATAAGAACACACAACCATTCACCATAAATTCTCAGACTTTTACACAAAAACGATCGATTTAGCCGATTCCATCCATATAGTCGTCCGAGTCTTGTCCACGCGAGCCATTTTGTTTCCTGAATTAGTAAATTAAGGAGTGCCTTTTGATAGTGTTGTTACTTTTATAAAGGAAAATCTTACTTGGATTTGGGACGACGATCGGTGAGCACTCTTCTTTCTTCAACGATTCGCATTCCACCCGAGAGTCCAATCTTCTCATAGGGCGCTGCTGATCGTGGTGCAATAAGTTCCTGTCTAAAAAAATTTGCATTAATAAACACGATTGTCACTAACGTGTGGAAGGTATGTGGAGTTTTTGAGAGGCCAAGCATTGCCGGTGTTGTTAAAAGCCGATTTACGGAGCATATTGGCGATGACACAGCTCCACTGCTAATCTAAATATAAAGTATTAAATAGGCAGCCGAATTGAAGTAAACCCACTTGAAAGGCGGCTGCAAGATGTCGACGTGTATTTGGGCCTTGTTCCTAAATACAAAATGTTTTGTCGAAGAAATGAAGCCCACTATAATTGGAGTGCTCGTCACCGTCTCAATAAATGACAATGAGAGGGAGTCGTTTGTTCCAAGGCCCGAATCTTGTTTTTCCTAATATAAATTAAATACCACAAAACAGTTTGATACCTGGCGCAGTTGACATGTAATCTGTTTGGGGTGAAGGCTGCTGGCGCATACGTTCCATTTGATTCTTCAGCTGTTCGTTCTCTTTGCGCAGTTTTTCCACGCGTTTCTGCAGCTCTGTTCGCTCTTTGACAAACTGCCTAAAGAAACTTTTATAACAAAATGTAAGTTTATTTTTTGTAGGTTACTATTTATCTCAGTAAAAACTTACGGCTCTTTCCCTGAATCGTGGCCTTTTGCCAAAAAAAGTAAATTTTTCGTGTTTTTTATTTTTTGCTTGTTTCACCGTTTTTTTTCTTACAAAGGGAAGGCGCAGAGGCACTGTGGAATTTCGACTCTTGACTTGGACCATTCGATAGAGCTTGAAATGGGCTTCTCAAATATGCAATTAGTTTTTGCCCAAGGGCCTGCAAACGCGAGATATCGAGCTTGAAAGTTTTGGCATACCATTTTAGGGCTTTCACACATTCCCTTACCAACTGCAACGGTGGCCTAGTGGATAGTGTGCCGAGTTGCAGGTTTTTGGCCCTGGTTCGAATCCAGACACGGTCAACTTTTTTTGCAAAATGTACAAAGTGTTTAAAACATGTTTAGTGATAAAAATCAAACATATAAACCACGACACAAGTCGTACTACCAAGGTTCGATCTCTGGCATTAAACCTCTTTTTCCTTTTTGTGGAAATCAACTTTCAAGATGGGGACAGATGCCGACGTGTTCCAAAATTCACAAAAAAAAACCCAGTATTTTTGGTTCAATTTCAAGCAAAAAAACACGAAAATGACTCCCTTGAAAAAAAGACCACGATTTAGGGAAAGAGTCAAACTTACTGTTCTCTTCCTTTTTGCTTTTCGAGTTCACAGCGCACCGATTTTGCAAAAGTGACGGCTTTCTGGTCCTTGTAAGAGAAGTGTCGCACGAGACCATTCTTGTGACGCTGTTGGAACTCGATCACACGTTGCATCTCTGTCATACATTCTTGTGCGACATCTTTCAAAGGTCGGAAGAGGTTCTAAAAGATGTATAACTTTCACAATAAGGCTAACAAACTCGAAATTTCGTTTGAATATTTCGGTTGATGTCCATATATTGAACCTGCGTCTTCTTACAGAGCAAACAAGTGGCGGCTTTTGCAAGTTCGGCGCCTAAATGAAAACATGAATAACATACGGACTTTAAAGCAAACCTTTTGCGCAGCAATTTCTACAGAAGATGTGTCCACAAGAGACGAAGTAGTAATGGTTGCCGCCTCCCGCATCCGGTACTGCGTAGCAAGCGTTGCAGTGAAGCCAACGATCAACCGCTGGTTTAGGGCTCCCATCTTCGCTATTCATCGTCAGCCCTCTAGTGTAACTAAATAGAAAATATGTATCAAACGGCAAACATTGGTTAAAAACGCGTAAAAGAAGTTCAAAATGGTTTGATACGGTTGGGCTCGGATGTGATGTTGGAGTTTCCAAAAATTTTTCACTTTTTTTGAAATTTTTATTTTAGGTAATATTTAAAATGCGAAAATCAAGATATTCAGCTAAGCGTCCTATAAAAGAGCGCAAAGCGCAAAAATGTTCATTATTCATTTTCCGCGGTGGAAAACGCTTGAATGTGCTTAAAGACCTTGGACCTTCGCAGAAGCTCTGACTTCCCAATGATCATTTTCAAGATTGGCTAGCTAGCCTCGGTCTCTTCCATAGTAAAAGGTGTAAAATTAAGTAAAATTTTGCTTTATTTGGACCCAGCATGCTCAAAAACGGAAAAAGCTCAAATTCTCAAAGATTTAGTCTAGCTAGTCTCGGTCTGTCAACTGTGGTAGCGCCAGAAATCATGTTTGCAGCAAATTTCTAAGTTTGGCTAAGTGATTAGATAAGTTTCTAACAAGCCTTAATACTCAACGCTAGCGCTTACCAACTAAAAAACGAAAAGTGACAATGGTTTCCCCCTACTCTTTCTCGACTTTTATACCATAGTCCCTTTTAAACTGAATATTTTTTAATTTCCCCATGCTTTGCATGAAATGGGGCAGCCGCGAAGACAATGCGACAGCTACGAAGTCCGTGTTTTGTGTTTTTAAAGGTTCGCCGAAAACCACTTGTGTTTCATTTTTCTTGTTTGTTTATGGTTTTCGGATTTTGGATTTCCTGCGTTAACTTTTTATTTTAGTCTCGAAGAAAATCGACATGGATCCGCCGCTGCTCTTGGACATAATCGCCTCGATGATCACGAAAATTGAGCATACCATGGACCCTTTGATGCAGGATACGACCAACTCGGTGGTCACGCGGGTTGAAATGTCTGTTTGGAATCTTTTCATTATTTAGTCTAAACTAACATAATAATTACACTGCTTCTGATTGTTTAATTTGTAAAGAGAATTGTTATGATGAATAAACACATTGTCATTTAGGCATGTCAATGAGAGTAAGCTGATGGACAACATTCTTGAGCGCAAGAAGCAATTTGGAGATTCAGCAGCGATTAAGTTCGTTCTAAAACGGAAAACACGTTTTTTCTTCTTTTTTAGTTTGCGAGAACTGGCGTTGAAGAAATATTCACAAAAGTCTTTTCCATCGCTTCAACGTGTTAAAAGGTTGCTAAAGAAGGAAAGAGCGTCGAATTTGAAGGCTCTGAGGTATTTTTTTTTTGTTTCTTTGAAGCCTACCTGTTTTTTAGCGTTACCACAGATGATTTCTTCATTCAGCCGTCTCGGCTTCTTCATTTTGTGTCATTCGAAAATCCGGCTCCGACGAAAACTCTTCCAGTGTATGTCGAAAAAAGAGCCGAACTTTCACAGGACAGGTCTCCGTGGTTTAGTTCGATTATGTTTGTTTTTATCATTATCGGAAGTATTTTGTCATCTTTTTAGGGCTGAAGAAATTGCTGCCGTCATTGATGCCTTCAACAATAATGCAACGAGGTCGAAACATCCGAAACCACAAGGTGCAGATGCCGGTTTGGGGTAATTGAATTCAAGTTCTAAGCGGTATTCGGAAATCTTTTGTGTTTGATCTGTTATATTTAGTTTGACGAAAACCGATGCAGCCCCACCAGTTACTCTGAAGATTCGGCTTAAGATGAAGTTAAGATAGGATGTGATGTGGTAATGTGATTCTTTAGTGAAAGTACGAAGTCAACAAATGATAATCGCAATGTGTCGACGAAAAAGAAGAAAGATGAAGAAGTTCATAAAAAAGATTTGACAAAGCTTAGGTAGGTTTAAAGTTGCTTCAATATCGTTTAAATCGATGCTTTATGGTGTTATTCTTATAAAAGGTCTCCATTTAGCTCATCGGAAGCAGCTTCAACTTTTTGCGATCTTAAAAAACGGCCCCAAGATCGATCAATGGGTTCAAAGGGAAAGAAGTTTGCAGGGGCTCTCAAGTAACTTTTAAGAAAGAATTTACGGGAAACTTGGTCTAATTTAGATCATCGAGTCAAGTTTCATCAATTTCAACTGCATTTCTCAAGGAAGTTGATCGACCCCCCAAGAAAAAAGATAAACCAGCACTCAGGTAAGTGGAGTCAATATGTACGAGGAAAGTATCTGCTAGAGATAGCCAATTTTATTTCTTGACTTTTAGTGCCTCAAACACCGCCACGCCATCAAACCTTACTTCGTTGGGAACCAAGAGAGTTGCTGAGAGAGAAAAAGATGTTGACGATTCCAATGGATACAAGACGCCAAAGACTAAAGTTAGTCTATTGTTCTCTGTTTTAGCTCTTTCTTTTAAAGCGCGTTTCGTTTGCGGAACTCGGTCGTTATGTCGAACTGGAGGAAATGCCAAATGTGGAAGTTGCTCTTTCAACGTTTGAACATCTTTTTGGAGCAAAATTTGGGTACGCTGTTAATGATGGCCATTGGTCTTCTTTCAAAACTTGACCTTGAATGGTTTAGATCTAAATTTGAATATCTTTTCTTTAGAGATGTAAATTCCAAGGAAGCAAGTCAACGAATAGGTAGTGCGACTGAGTTAATGGAGCACGCAAATAGGTCCGAGTGAGCTTCACGTTATAGATACACAAAGCTTTTCCATACTTAGGTTGGAGATCCCTCGAAGTTCCAAGGAGGCAAGTCAACGAATTAACCGAACCACAGAGTTAGCAGAGCATTCAACTAGGCTCAAGTGCGTTTTTAAGAAAATGCAGCAGGCTTGTTTATACTTAGGTCGGTGATCCCTGGACCCAAAACACTACCTCCTTGTTCTGATGTTATTTTTCCTTCATTGGAACAGCTTCAGCGAAAGATTGGGTAGAATATTACGATTATGCTAGGCATTTAGAGTAAGAAATTAAGGCTTCAAATAGGTCATATGTGATTGTTGTCCAGGTAGAGTCACGAACTTTATCGGTTGATGTTTAGATTGCCGCCTTTGCTGGGATCAAGAATGCCACCTCGGGAACCTAGAACGCCTCCTAAAATTCCGCCAAAGGTGAGCCCGCTTTCACCTGTCGTGATGCCGAGATCTATGGACAAGCAGCTACCATCCACTCTTACTGTAAGAAATTTGAGCTTGGATTTGAGTTTACACATTTCTAGACTTTCGCTTGTCATCCTAAATCAAACAAGCAAGAAGAATTGGTGGTGAATTTTACCTTTTTAGAGTGTATAGTTTCAAAGTCTAGGAGTCGATTTGTAATTTGCTGCAATTTGATGGGCGGATTCAAGATGAAAAATTGAGGCGATACGAAGAGCATAATGATGGCACAATGGTCGGTTTTGTTTTCCTACTTTGACGGTTCTTTTTTTTCTAGTGTGCAAAGCTGCTTGCTATTAATCGTAAACCAGAACGCACTGATGAGGAAGAAAGAATGACAAGTGAAATGCTGTTTAAATTGAACTCTTTATTTTTACAGATCGGCGTCAAACTCCAAAATATCGTGATTTATCTTGGCCTGACGACTTCGAGGTACCGTCACGTAAAAGACACTGGGCTTTTTACTGGCCAACTTTCGACCCAGTTGATGTTGTCATCGATGTTGTTACGAGGAAAGATAAAAACAATGAAAAGTGAGTCTTTATAAAAGTTTATTTATTTTCTCGTCCAAATTCTCTAACCTACCTAGTTATTTTAGATGGTACAATATGTACATTCAGAATTTCCACAGCTCGGACGAACATCTTGCATACAAAATTAGACGAATGGTTAGTGATGCTGAACATATTCAGACTTTCTATTTTAGCGTTTGGCCGAACCAGCGTCAGCCGGCTCTTCCTTGAAAGATGAAATCAACAGTCGTCTCAGGGCCTACGATAATCACGATGAAAAACCGCCAAAGACCAATCACCGATTCACATATCGATTTGGATACGCCCGCGAATTCATGTTTGAAAGCCTGTATGGTTTTTTAATCTCTTTTTTTAAACTTTTATTTAGAGAAGAGCGAAGACTTTTCGAAGAAATTAGATTCACCCTTAAGGTTTGGAATAGTTTTTACAGCTGTTTAAAGGCACATTTAGTCAGGCAAAGACGCTCTATATGAAATTGACGATTACAGTACTGATCGCTTCGACTTGGTTTGATTTAACTTTCTTATGGCTAACTGGTTTTATAGGTTCCAAGTGCTTGGTTCGGGCCAACATCAAACGTCACGCTCACGGAGAACAATAATAAGCAACATTTTAAAGAGTGGGTTGACGAATACATTCATTTCAAAGCAGTCGACACTTACAAATCGGTAAAGTTTGAATGAATTCATGCCTAACGTTAACTCTAGTTGAACAAACGGACAAGAAGTGACGCTTTATTGGATGAAGCTCTTGATGCCCGCATTGGTTTAGCACTTCTTCCGACGTTTGATCGCCTCAAAAGCATTTCCGCACAAGTATGTTTTTGCTCGGATCTTCTGTTATGAAAAAGATCAAATTGTTTGATCAAACATTTTGGTTTAGAGGATCCTTTATAAATTACGCCTGGAAAATCAAGATCTTACAAGGACGGAGGCATATTACGATCTCAAACTGAAATCGGACCAAGTCAAGAGCGCGCAAAGAGTACAAGAAGTCGAGGAAATGATTGCAAATGTAAGGAATCCAATCTTCCAATCCAAAATTGCTTTGCTTTTTTAGCGGAAGCCTCAACGCCTGGAAGATTTACGTCGAGAATTCTCACTTGTCAGGTAAAGCTCACCTGAGCGAAAGTTGCTCTTTTATTATGCTAACAATTAGTTTTATAGTTATGAACAAAAAAGATTTTGTCAGCATCTACAATCAACTCACCGCCTCGTATCGCGCTTTCGGTAACCTTGCTTTTTGATAATTGGATCTAACTTGTGTGTTAGCGCCTATGAGTTGGATCATGCACGAGAATTGTGGAAAGCTAGAGCAAACCGTTAACGATGCGTTTGAGAAGCGAATGGGGATTCCAAAACGACGAGCGACATACTTTCAGGAGTAAGTTTGTGCTTTATGTTTAGGTTTAATATAAAGCAATATTTATATCGGCGATTTACTGGACTCTGCTAAAAGATTGATCGTTGATGGCACTAAATCCTATAAGACTTTTTCCTTTCAGGTTTAAGTCATATATGGAACGCGAGTATCGGCAAGCTCGTGCCGCAAGAAAGTAATTTCCCAAATTTTTCCTCTTTGTTTCATCACATTTGTTTTTGCTATAGTAATATTTTCGCAAGATTTTGTTTAGTTTTTCATTTTCATTTTTTCTGATTTAATTTTTCAGTGATTTGTTTTATTTCGTTTTCAGTTTTTATAATCTTTTTTATTACGTTAAATAAATTTGTTACTAGGTTTGCTGTGGAAAGGATTGAACCGGAGTTTTTAAAGGCTCATTTTTGAGAACGCGTTTATGACATGAAGTAAGGTAGCGTAGGCATAATAAATGTTCTTTGAAACGATATACTAAACTATGGTATGCTTTGCACACATGTGAGCCTCCATCCATTAGTTTTGGTTATTTTGGAGACAAGGCGACACAAATTGGGAACAGATGTTGATTTGGCACTTTGGACTTTCGAGATTTTATTGTGGTTAGTGAAAAGCAGGTTTTTTCCGAAAAAAATTTTTACTTTGCCTAAAATTTGTTTCCGTACTTGCTAGGTCTGTCAGTTATGCATACCTATTCTAAATTAGCTTCTGATTTGGTATTATTCAGTCTTTTTACTGTAAATCGGGTAATTTTGTCATCAAAGTTTTCTCATAGCTAGCCCGCTTCCATTCTGAGTTTATGACATCATGAAATCATTTCGCACAAATCTCGAGTTATCTCTCTGGATTTACACAATTTTGATTTGAACACAAATCCGTTTTTTCCTCTTTCCACTTCATTAGCTTTGAATGGGTGGAGGGATGATTCGAATGAAATCACTTTTTTACAAAAATCGCCTCTAACCAATTTGGAATCTCTAGTGTGTGATTTCAATGACGAACATCTCTATTACAGTAGTTTTCCCTTAAAATAATGTGGTTTCTAAAATGTATCACTTTTTGAAAACTACATTAATACAGATTTTATGGATCCTTTCGATAGCATTTTATGTTTTTTAAAATGTGTCAACTTTCGAAAGCTACCATACCTTGCCTTTAGTTTTATCCAATCTAGCTATTTTTGCATCTTACAGAATAGCATCGAAAGTAAATTGGATGAAAATTAGAGGCAAGACTATGGTAACTTCTAAAGTTGATCCGTTTTAGAAAACGCAACTTTTGATGTTTGCCAAAACTTGACTTTGGCTTAAAATATCCCTTTAACCCGTGCTATCCTTTAGAAATGATTGTTCGGGGAAAATTTCTAGAGCTCAAATTTCAAACAAAACTCGAATCCTCTTCAGCATTCGGCAATTCGGCAACTGCTTTCAGAAAAACCTTAAAAAAAACTCAAACGTGCTCTTTTCTCGAATTTGAAAAGCTTTTTTAGGCAAACTCGGTTTCGTATTACGGAAAGTTGCCCAGTTTTTGCCCAGTTTTTGTCCAGTTCATCCAATTCGCAAAAGAATGTCGACCCTTTCACTTGTTTACCGATTATTAGATCCTTTTGTTTGTCTCATAGTCAATGGGATCGATTTCGGTTAAAGATTTCAATTTCAACACGTGGATTTGAGAAGAAAAAAAAACAGTCGATGTTAAAGTTTACGAGTTTCAACTTCTTTCTATCAACTTCCTTCTTTCAAGAAGTACACAAGAATTAATTTAAAAACACTTTTAACACTATAAATTTTTAACATTTACCTTAAATTGGATTGAATTGGGTTACGGTAACTTTCTATAGACTTACAGTAGTGCATTTTAGGTTTAAAAGATCTATCCTTTAGTTCTAAAAGAAGTTCTAAAAGTATCTAGTAAAAAAACTCAGTGCGCCGGAAAGGATGTGTTTTCACTTTTGACCACAAAGTACACTGGATACTATCGTAGTTAGAAGGACTTCATTTCTGATTTCTGATTTCTGATGACTTTCTGATGACTTGAGCACAAAAATGGTGTTGACACGATGCTCTACAATCCAACAATGGGACTCAAGATGGACTTTTGCTTGTTGACTTTGCGAGGTTTTTTTCGACAGAAAAGACCCAAAAGGTCTTGTTTTCTTCTCAAAAAACCGAAAAAAGACTCAAATTCAATCCACCCACTCAAAAGTTGATTTTTCAAGAAAAACTCTTGAACCGAGAGGATTGGGCGTCAATTAGTCGAGCTATTTTAGAATCCCTGTAATTATTGTAATTCCCTTCGATGCACTCATTAATTTTTATAGTTTTTAGTTTTGTTTCTAGAACTCATTTACGCTTAGTGATCACAGTGATCGTTAAGAAAGCGTTCACTTCTATTTTTTGAAGTACGGTAGAATTTTCGATAGAAACTTTTGCTTTCTTTTTCCCTGAATCTCTTTCTATTGAATATTTGATTTGTTTGTTTACTTTATTCTTGCTTTCTGTATCTCTTTTAGAGTATCACTCTTGTAATCTCAAGCCTTCTGATAAAGAAGTAAAGGAATTGAAGGGAAAAGTAGAGAGAATTAAACACCAATCTTTTGCTTTCAGGAGAATTGTGCTTACCATTGAAACATCCGGCTTTAACTTGAGAAAGAGGGAAAGATAAGGGGGAAGAAGAAAGAAAGAAGGAAGGAAATAAAGCTTTCTAAGACTTGAACAATCACTAGGCACTATCCAATGAATACTCATTGTCAGCACTTGAAATTCGAACTTATTCGCTTTATTAAATAATTAGATGGATAATGCTGGGTAGTTTCGGGTAATTTGTTGGCTAATGACAATGAAATACGTGTACTCATTGCCAGTACAATATTGCTTTTCGCCGTCAATAACAATGAACGATACAAGTTTCCCTTTCTTCTTCCCCCTTATCTTTCCCTCTTTCTCTTTCTCAAGTTAAGGCCGGATATTTCAATGGTAAGCACAATTCTCCTGAAAGATTGGTGTTCATTTCTCTCTACTTTTTCTTTCAATTCCTTTGAGTACGGTATCAACGTCATAAGAAATCAATTTTAAAACCGCATTTTCAGCTTTTGCACATTGTTATGCGAAGATAAATAGTTGAGTTGATCAAATCGGATCTTTTTTTAAAGATTTTTAAGCATTCTTTTCAATATTAACCAATCGTTTTATGTTTAGCATAAAATAAAATCCTTTTTTTCCACTAATTTCCCATTTTCTTTCCTCTTTTTTTCCTCTTTCTTTCCAAATTTATGATTTTTTTTCTTTTTGGATTCACGAAAATTTGATTCTCAAATTCCTGATTTTCTAGAATTTTCTGTTTAAATTTGTTTAAACCTGTTTAAATCTTTGATTTAAAGATTTCCTCTTTTGGAATGCCCTTCCCGACAAGTTGCGTTTGATCTCCACCGTGTCTGATTTTAAAAGGGCTATTTCGTTGCATTTTAAGTGACTTTTTCATCTTTTATCTTTTATCTAGTACATTTTTCATGTCGTTTTCGCACTTTATTTCTTTCTGAATAAAGTATTTATATATAATTAATGATTTTCTCACTTCAATCCTCATTTTTCTTTTCTTTTCTTCTAAAAAAAACGTTAATAAATCTGTAAGTTACGAAAGAAAAGGCGGGATTTTGTCGAGATTCCAACCAGCTGTACCTGGCAAAAAAAAACAATTGAAAAAAATAGGAAAAATGAAGGTGTCCTTGGGGAAGAAACTCGATGAAAGTTCAACCTATTAATCTCAACTTTTTGAAAGAGCAATCTAACAAAGCTCAGTCACTGGACTAGGCACGATTCGAAAGGAAACTTATCAGTATTAACTTAAAATACACAGCTCTACCTGGGAAAGGTATGGTGCAGATAACTTATGAGTATTAACTAGAGTGTGTTCCTCGCGAGTAATGCGTTTTTTTAAAAAGCACGCTTGAGAAAAAATTATCGTAGTTTTAGCAAAAATTATTGCAAAAAAATGACGCAAAAGTGACGAGCCCCTCATTATATATGACACTTTTTAAAGATACTCAGCCGTTTAACTGATTTGGTGGGAAATTCCCTTCCAATGTAAAAACTGGTCTTTTTTTGGGGGTAGGCTACTTTGCGGGGGGTGGGACAAATGCGACCTTTTTTTTGCGCACCTGGACATTTGCGCACCTTTTTTTTTTGCTGGAAAAGGCCTTAGGCAAGGCCGTAGAGCTTCGAAAATATTTCGAAAATACTTCCATATAAGGGAATCGTATGCGTAGATTCCGAATTTCGACAAATCAGACCTCGCTGACACGTCAAATTTGGGCTAAAGGGCAAAAACTGCGGAAAAGCGTTAAGTTGCGTAGTTTTTGCCTTTTAGTCCAAATTTGACGTGTCAGCGAAATCTGATTTGTCGAAATTCGGAATCTACGCATACGATTCCCTTCTATGAAAACTTTTTGAAGCTCTACGACCTTTCCTAAGGCCTTTTCTAGCAAAAAAAAAGGTGCGCAAATGTCCAGGTGCGCAAAAAAAAGGTCGCATTTGTCCCACTCCCTACTTTGCGTTAATTTTTTGCGCAACAGGATCATTTGTGTCTTTAATCTTTATTATCTTTAAAGATAATCATAATATCTTAATCACAAAATCGAATCCCAATAAATCTGTAATTTTTAGAGCAAAGGCGTTTTTGTCCTTGTCTTTTTGTCTTGACACAGCTTCTCCACCCTCGCACAGCTGTACCTGGGGGGAAAAAGTTGATGGAGGAAAAAAAACGAAAAGAAAAATGATCCAGGTGCTGCTTGGAGATCGTCAAGAGAAAAAACAAGAGAAAATGGAACGCTTTTCTAGACAATCTAAACATTTTTTTCGAAAAGAGATCGACAACTGTCTTTTATTTTCCTCCGGTCATTTCTTTGATCTTTTTTTTCCGAAAAGCTTTGCAAAACTTGGCTACTAAAACTACTAAGATTAAGAGATTAAGACCACATAGTAACCTTAATCTTAATCTTAATCTCTTAATCTTTGTTCTTTTCTTTTCTTACATTAAATCAAAGTTTTTCTAAATGTAATTTGTCCGGGTGAGGCTAGGTTCTGATCAAGTTTCTGACCGTATCTTCCTTCGCTTTAGTTTGGCTGTTGTGTAAGCTTGTTTGAAGTCTGTTAGAGTCCATAACTGGCTTAAAGGGGGAGACTTT